GATGGAGCACACCCAACAGGCCCAGCCTCAGCTGCCTTCCCCCACCACTGAAATGGAGCCCACACGCGCTGTGACGCCCAAGGGAAGCTTATGCAAGTGGCATCCCCAAATGGAAGCAATGGAATAAAGAATCGGACTGGTCCACATCCGGATTTCAGAAAGCAAAGCTGGCTCTCCCCATTCTCCCCCTGGTGGTCAGTGCCACCAACTAATTTCCCCCTTCCTAGCCTCAGTTTCCCCGCGGGATGGGGTGGGAGATGGGCTAGCCAGCCTGACAGTAGTTCTCAGGGCCAGTCTAACTCTGGCCCCTGAAGAACGGACATCACCATTTATTGATAATATTTACTAAGTGCTGTCTGTGCTCCAGGCCCTGGGCTGGGCATGCGCAGACACAAAGTCACTCAATGCCTTGAGTTCACTTGAGTTTCCTGAGCGTATTCCTTCCGAGAAGCAGGGTGGGGAGTTCACAGAGAAGATAAAACATCACGCAACTGGATACCCCTGTTTCAAGTGATCTAAGCAACACCGCAGAGAATAAACCGATGCTCAGAGAGACTGTGGGGCCCACCCAAGACCACGGACCCAGAGCCAGACCCTACCAGGACCCCAGGTCTCCCCACACAAGACCTTAGGCTCTCTCATCTGCCCTCAGTAGGACCACGGAGAGAAAATTGGAACTTGGCATCCTTGACTTGAGTGAAAAAAAAGAGATAAAAGAGGATTCCTACAGCAGAAAAGCAAACAAACAAAAACCCCTCTCGGTGTTATGTCTTGTGGGTCTTGGTTGCGAGTTACAGAACAGCCTCCTGGTTTTCCAGATGAGCAGTCCAGGCCGTGTGAGTGGGGTGCTGACGGCTGCAGTAGCAGACAAGACTTAGAGTGTGCAGCAATAAGGACAGGTACAGCTCATGTAACTGGGAGCCCAGAGCTGGGGTGGACATCGGGCCTGAATGTCACCACAGTCCCCGGTTCTCATCACCCTCTGTCTGTCATGGTGCCAGGACGGCTGCCAGCAACCATAGGACTTCCACGTTCCCATCACAACAGAGGGACCAGCTTAGCCACAGCTCTCTCTGCTTCCCACTCAACCTCCAGAACTGCCTCTAAGTCCAGGCTGGAACCAGTCACCACATGGGGACAAGATTACCCTTGTACCTTCAGACCTAGGAGTGCCTGAGAGCTCTTGCCAGGAACCATGCGTGTTCTCCATGGGAGAAGGGAGGCTGGGTGTTGGAGAGATCGGCTGCAACATCCATCGTGAGGGTGCAAATCTCACTGCATGCTGGGTCTCACACCACACGCCCCCTCTCCACTGCAGTTCAGGCCTGGGTGGAAAACGGAATCCAGAGCACAACTAGTTCAGACTCTGAAGACAACTCCATGTGGTGGGAGTTCCCCTGCATTTCCCCAACCATAAAATCGGGACAACTCTGTGGGGATAAAGAGACTGGTCTGAAATTGCGTGTGACACCCCAGGATGGGGGTTAGGGAAACCCCCTAATTTCCATGGATGCAGGAAGCACGTGTATCTGATAGAGGCTGGTGGCTGAGACGCTCCAGGGAAGGGAAGCTGTGCCTGTGGTCCCAGCAGAGAAGTGTGTTCCGAAGTGCCTCACCCGTCAGGCACATTCCCAAAGGGACCCAGTCACTGCCAGATCTACCTGGTCAGCCTCCGCCATCTCCCCTCAGCTGAGCTCCTGTGTCCGGGCCATCACTGCCTGCCCCGGCCAGACCCCGAGAAGGGTGTGCTTGGTAAACGGTGCTCAGTGAAGGAAGTATGCATTGGTTTTGCATGTCCAGTGTAGCCTAGAACCAGCTATTTAACTCAAAAGTCCTGGGGCCTACAGCAAAAGAGAACGGAGCCAGGAAAAGTCCTTTCGAGAATCACATCCAGCTCTTAAGAAATGTCTAAACAGACAGAGACTTCCTGGCACCCTCTCAACCCTGGGATCCCTCCACGGTCCTAAAAGTGTCAATGGCACTGCTCTCTCCACACCCTGTCCCCGTCCTTGCGAAGTTCTCTGTGCCCTGAGTGGCCTGCACGCACACCTCGTAATCACAACCCTCGAGGCAGCCGAGCTCAGCCAAGAGTCAGCATCCCCCCCAAAAAATCCAAGCTGCCCTAACTTACCCCAAGATGTGAACAACTAACAAAACCTCAATCTTCCCAAGGTATTTGAGATTTTATAAGAGACCTGGGAACTCAAGTAGGACTCCCACTGGCAAAGATGACGTTTAAAGGGTGAGAAGAAGTCGGTCATGAGAAAGGCAGGAGGAAGGTGTTCCAGGTAGAGGACACAGCAGGACAAATGCCCTGAGGCAGGAAAGAAGCCACCCACTTAAGGAACAGGCACTAGACAGGAGCAGCTGGGGTGTAGGGAGTGAGTGTGGACCCAAGGACCAGGTGCAATAGGAGTTTGTGCACCTGGACCTGGGTCTTTTGCAAACTGAGTCTTAGCATCCACTATTTGCTCATAAGGCTCTTCCAGTTACAAGACTTTTAAATTATAAGTGTCATTAATTAAATGCCTTCTATAAGCCAAGCACTGTCCTGGGCACTTTCCATATTAGCATAATCACTGATCATCCCAACAACTTTGTATAAGCGGCCATTATTATTTCTCCCTTTATGAAGGAAGAAAGTAGAGCTCAGGAAGGTTTAGTATTTGTCCAAGGTTGCACAGCACGTGAGGAGTCAGAAGCAAGATTTGAACACACGTCTGTCTGACATCCAAATATGTGACCTACCCTGGGGCTCTGAGCATAAAACACAGTCAAGATGCAACAGTATGAAAGTCTGTTTTTATTTAAGGAGGACAGAATTCTCATATATCCTAATTATAATAATGACTGGTGGTGTTTCCTCTTCTGATCTTGTTCCTCTCTGCATGGCTAGCAGCTGAGCCCTCTGCCCTACACTCATTGGCATTCCTCCTGGGCCACGGGCAGGGCCAAGCCTTGGTTTCTTCATCTAGAAAGTGGGGTACGGAGTGTGTGAGAGCGGCTGCGAGGCTCCAGCACACAGGGGGTGCTCCACACCCTCTGGCGGCGCCTTCATCACCATCCCACCTGGTCCTCACAGGAGCTCCAGGCCTTTGCAGGCCGGAGTCACTCCCATTTTACAGATGGGGAAACTGAGACATGATGAGAGGATACTCCTCTCAAGGTCACACGGCTCCCGGATAGAACAGGGGCTACACAAGGGCAGGGAATCTCTGTCCGGTCCCAGGGACACAACAGTGACTGGATGTAGCAGGTGCTCAGTAAATATTCGCTGAATGGACGGAGAGAGGTTACCACTCTGCCTCCGGTAACTGCACTTGCCCCTCGCCGTGCCCGCTGCGAGCTGGCGGATTTATGAACGAAAGCGGGGTGGGCAGGGTGAGGAAGGAATTAATGTTTGCAAATGTCCACCGCAGGCTTTTTACTTCTAGTCACAGAACGAACCCCGCGCCCTACTCCTCATCCCCAAAGCGGAGATGAGAACCAGGCGTCCTCCGGGTGCCAGAGGAGCCCTGCCAAGATCCGCTCCCGCCAGAGCCAGGCCACTGGGGCACCTGCCAGCAACCCGCAGGCCTCTTTCAACCTGCCGCTCAGCAGGCTACGAGCAGAAAAGCACCCCCGGACGCACGCTGATCCCTCCCCAGCTTCACCGAAGCGGGCGACAAAGGGCCGCTTCAGCTCCCGCGCCTCCCACCGCCCCAGCGGGGCAGAGCGTCGCCAGCCCGCGGCCCGCGGCCCTGCCCCCTCTCCCTGCGCACACCGGGCGAAGCATGACTCAGCGGTTCTCCTGCGGGCGCGGGAGCGGGGAGCGGACCCCGGCTTCCGTCCGCCCGGGTCACACGCCCAGCCTCTGCCTCCTCGGCCTCTGCGGGCTCCGGTCCGCTCGGCCTCATTTCCGGCGGAGCCCGGCTTCGCCGCCGCCTGGCCCACGCGGGTTCCCCGGCAGAGGCACCCACGCGCACCGCCCCGCAGGACGCAGTGCCCAGGGCTCTTCCCACGGGGCCACCCACCAGGGCAAGCTCTTGCTAAAAATCCACAAACCCTTCTGTTGCCAGGCCGGCAGTCCCTGGGGAAGGTGCTGCCTGTCTCCACCCTGGGCAGGCCTCCAGCACCAGTGGCCCCGCCAACGCCGCTCGCTGACACTCAGCGGCCAGGTCTCCCCGTCCCCACCCTCCCTCGGGGCTCGCTGTGCGGGCCCCACCTGCCCTGTGCACGGGAGCTGTCCCCAGTGCTCCCTGGGCGAGGCTGAGCAGAGGGACCCCGGAAGTTCTGGCCTGTAAGAGAGGGGCGCTGACCCTGTGGATTCCACCACCCTCGGGGTGGGGGTCAGGGTAGGGGTGGGCTTGTAGGGCCAACTTAGGGGATTTTAAACGGGGCCTGTTTGGGGTGGCATGTCCCACTTTTGGGGGGAAATCCTGACAGCCCAGCTGCTCCTGCCTCAATATAACTCACCAAGAATAAAAGGCCAGACGCAAACCAGCCGCCCTCTCCCTCCCACCAGGGGACCCTGTCTCTGGGGGCGCAGGAGGGGCCCAGGGCAGGCGAGCCTCTCAGGAGTATCTGGCAATGGTTGTTATTTCTCTGGGTCCCTCTTCTTCTTCAGGGAGTGGGCAGCCTAGAAAATTCTGCGAGCTTTGGGCAGAACTGAAATGGCAAATCCAGGATTTTAAGCCATTACATTTCCCCAGGATTTCTTCACCAGATTAGCCACAGCATGGCTTTTTAAAAAATGATGGCCAGGGCCGAATCAGGATTCCACCCGACCAGGGAGCGGACAGCTGCCTCCCGGAGGGCGGCGCGGAAGAGGGCGCTGCCCTGGCCGGGCGCTGGGCAGCGGGGGCCGGTGCCCTCGGACTCCCTCCCTCCCGGGCCCCGGCGGGTGGGGTTGGGGGGACACGACACACATCGCGCGGTCCAAACCTTCGGAGGGCATTCGGTGCGACGGCATCCCCACGCCGCGGCGGGCCGGAGGGGGTCTCAGACAACACGTACGTTACCTTCAGTCACATAGCTGTGGTCCCGCAGGAAGCTGTGGTTAATTTTCCGCGTGTCCGTGTCCTCGCCCATTGAAGGCCGTGCCCGGTGCCCTGGGCATGCCCCGCCGCCACACACCGATGCAATCCGCAGAGGTCGCGCCGGGCGCGCGGGCCATGCCGCCGCAGCCTAGCAGGGGCGCGGGCCGCCGGGGCCCCGGGGGGCGGGCA